TCATCCTCTGTTCCTACTGACACTTAAAGGATTTTGTTACAAATTGGACACAGACTGTGGCTCTCAACAAGATGTGGAATTTCAAGGCAGGAATCTTCTATGACAATTTGTCTCCACTCCTCCCAAATGACAACATAGAAGATTTTTCTTTCTCAACACTCACAAATGGGATACCACTCATTTACAAGTACATCTACATTTTTCATTTTTCTAATTTGATAGTCTACAATTGATGGGTATGTAGCCCTATCTCGATTAGGGTTATTTTCCTCCTTCTGTTATTACACCTAAATAATTCTGGCTGCTATTACCTCTTATACAGAATAACTTCTGTTTATCTCTCTTCACTATAAATTTGTCCATTATAAGCAGGTAGAAGTAGCTCCTATTTTACTATGCCTTCTAACAAAGTAGTGCCTAAGCATCTTGTAAGAAATATAAACTATTTTAATATAAAGTACTTCCTTTTCTCTGTCCTTACATCACAGCTAGAAGAGAACACTGACTTTTTCAATTATGTACGTGAAATTATATTTGTAAATCTGTGAATTTAATCTAGAATAGTAAAAGGGAATTACAAAACACTGGTTATAAGCAGAAGGCACTGAGTCTGACATTGCTGAAAATCACTGGATTGGAAGAGACAAAGACTGGATGTTAAAAGGGTTTAAAAAAGGAAAAAAGACAGTTGAGCACAAGAATACGCTGAATGACAGAGAGTGTCGCAGCGTCACCAGAATGTTCGTGCCCCTACGGGTGAAGGCAGAAAAGCAGCAGTGAAAAAAGGTAGAAGAGTTTCTCAAATATTCTTGGCAGTAGCAACAGGACTAAGGAGCAGACAGCACTAAAAACCGCACGGAGGAATGCTGAGAAGATACAATATCCCGAAAACAACGGGGGCTGGGGCAGCAGGCTCCTTATTAAGGAGGGCCATCAACGCACGGAGGCGCCAAGCAAAGGTCAAATGCGGACTATGACATCGAGGGCAGGGCCCTTCTGGGAGAAAGGTGAAGACAAAAGGTTGCTTCCTCGCCAGGTACAAGATGAGGCAGGAGTCACGAAGGACGGGACACACAAAAATGCAAAGTAAAAGACAGACATCAGGAGGCAGTAGTGAGAACTGAGGGTAGAAATGTTTAAGAACAGGAATAGAGAACATAAAAAGCCAAGCATGCCTGGAGAAGAAAGTCTGGTTTTACTCAAAACGGCCAGGTGTGGGCTAACCAAAACTGCAAGCATAGATCTTTGTGGGCAATACTCTTTATAGGGACAAGCCAGGTTGAGAGAAGGCCTGGAAGACGGAAGTGGCGGTCCCACGACACCGGAAGCCCAGCTACCAGAGGCCTACAGCAACTCTACCCCTGGCGACGCGGCCGCCAACAGCAGTGGGAGAGTTAAACCATACATGCGATGAAGAACTAGTATCCTGGGGCACCTGGGTGGCTCAGTCGGTTAGGTGACCACCTTCAGATCAGGTCCATGATTCCAGGGTCCTGGGATGAAGCCCAGCACGCATCAGGCTCCCTGCACGGTGGAGAGTCGGCTCCCCTCTGCCCTTCCCCTGGTCATACTCTCACACTCTCTCTCGCTTTCTCTCAAACAAAATAAAATCTTAGGGAAAAAAAAAAAAAAAAAGAACTAGCATCCAGAAGACATAAACGACTCTTACAGCCCAACAATACAAAGGCAAAGAACCTAACGTTAAAATGGTCAGGGATCCAAATAGACATTTCTCCAAAGAAGATTCCCAAATGTCCAATAAGTACACATAAACAGAGTCAACAACTTTTGTCATTAAGGGAAAAGCAAATGCAAATCAAAATCACTGTGGGATAACAACTTCACACCCACGAGGATGACTATAATCAAAAAGAGGGAAAAGAACAAACGTTAGCAGGTTGTGGAGAAACTGGGACTCTTGTACAATGCCGGTGGGAATATAAAATATAATGGTACAGCCACTTTGGAAAACAGTTTTGCAGTCCCTCAAACAATTTAAACATAGTAACCATGACCCACAAATTCCACTCATAGGTATATAACCAAAGCACAAAAAAACACATCCACATAAAAACTTGTACATATAATGATGTTCACAGAAGCATCATTCATAAAATCCAAAAAGTGGAAGCAAACCAAATGTCCACCAAGGACGGACAACACCAAAATGGGCTATAGCTATACACAGACTATTACTGGCCATAAAAAGGAACGGAATACCGATATATATTATCACACGCATGCCCCTTGAAAACAGGATGCTAAATGGGAGAAGCCGGACAGAGAAGGCCACATAATGTGCGAACGTCCAGGTGAGGGGAATTTATGAAGATAGTAAGGAGATTAATGGGGCTTCAGGGCTGGGAGGAGAAGGGAGAATGAAGACGGACGGTTACTGGGTGCATGAGTTCTTTCAGAGGGGGACAAAAATGTTCTGAAGTCAGACCGTGATAATATTTGCACAGCCCCGTGAATATACTAAAACCCATTCAGCTGTGCACTTTAAATGCGGGAGCTGTATGATAGGTAAATTATATTTTAATAAAGCTGTTTAAAAATGTCATCTTACTTGGACCCATGGGTTGAATTTATGGAAGTGACTGAGTGCCAGCCAACCTGGAGAGCCAATGCCAACGAAAGAAGACACTACTTACAGCTCTCAAGACAAGGGGGGCACCCACACCACACAGGGTGACAGAGAAGCAGCAGGTTTGCCCAGGAGGCAGAGAGCGGAGCGAGGGGAAAGCCTCGGCCAGAACTTTTATTGGGGTTTCTGCAGGAAAGGCAAGCCAGGACAGAGTGAACAATGCAGGACTGGCTTACTGGAGTGATTCAGGCTGTAGCGCTGTCTCTAGTCCTGTACCTGGCCCTGGGATAATGCAGCACAGGGAGAATAAGGGCCTGGTGTGTGGGTTAGATAAGGAGGTACCCGAAGGCTGAAGATTCCGGATTGGGTGATTTGCACATGAAAGGCATACTTCAGGCAGGCTGTTGTTATCTTTAGGAATTAGCTGGCCCTGGGAGGGACAGTTCTCCCCAGGTCTGTAAGGCCCCCAAAAGCCGGAGCATCGAGGATACACGAAATAAGAAAATATAGTTAATCTAACTGGCCCTGTGATGAATGGATGCCAAAGCGACAAATACAGAATCTGAGGAGACAGAATAAATGCATACAACAGAAATTCACAGGGTGATTCTAGAATTTATATGGAAACGCAAAAGAACCAGAGGGGTGGAAACTATATTGGAAATTTAAAAAAAAAAAAAAAAAAAGGACAGAGAACTTACACTGTGTAATTTCAGACTTATTACAAAGCCACAGTTATTAAGACAATGTGGTGTTGGCAAAAGGATAGACAAAGACACCAATGACCAGAATAAGGAGCCCAGAAATGGGACTACCCATAGACAATGACTAATATTTTACAAAGGCCTAAAGTAATGCAATGGTTAAAGGAAATTCTTTTCAATATCCTCATGGGGGCAGGTAAAGGAGTAAGTCTTGACCTTTGTCCCACACCACTCATAAAAATCAATTCGAGGTGAAATCAAAGACCTAAAACATAGTTTAAATTATTTTTTTTAAAGGATTATTTATTTATTTATTTGACACAGAGAGAGAGATTTCACAGGTATGCAGAGAGGCAGGCAGAGAGAGAGGAGGAAGCAGGCTCCCCACCGAGCAGAGAGCCCGATGCGGGGCTCGATCCCAGGACCCTGGGATCATGACCTGAGCCAAAGGCAGAGGCTTTAACCCACTGAGCCACCCAGGCACCCCATAGTTTAAATTATATATGAAGCTTCCACACACAAAAAAAAAGACACAATATCTTTATGACTTTGAAGTTGGCAAAGATTCCTTAATATATAAAAAACACTAAACAAACAAAAAACTAAAAGAAACAAAATGCACTAACCATTAAAAAAAAGACAAATTGGACTTTATTCAAATTTAAGACTTCAAAAGATACCATTTGGGAAATGTAAAAAGGGAGCCGCAGATTAGGAGAAAATGTTCACAATGCATATTGGGGGAAATGACTCATTTCCACAACAGGAAGGACTCCTACAAATCAAAAATATGATGTTAAACAACCTAATTTGGACAACAGACACTTCACAAATAGAAGAGCCCATGTGCACATGAAAAAAGGCAAACTTCATCACCAGCAGTCATCTGCAACATGCCAATTAAAGCCACAACGACAGCACTTTACACTCACCAGAATGGCTAAAAGTAAAAAGACTTTCAATATCACAGGCTGGTGAGACCATGTTCCAACTGGAACTTTCAGAAATTGCCAATCCAAGTACGAAACAGTAGAGCCACACTGAAAATAGACTGGGTTTCTTATGAAGGTAAAATATATACCGACCCTACGGCCTAGCAGTTCCCACTTTGGGATGTGGACCCAAAGGAAACCGAAATATATGTTCATAACAAAGTGTTGTATAAGAAGGTTCATGGCAGTTTTAGTCGTAATAGCCGAACACTGAGAGCAAGCCACTGCCTTTCAACAGATTAGACACTGTGGTGCTTCCACATTATTGAATGGTACTCAGCAATAAAAACAGGTAAATTACTGACATGTACTACAACACGGACGACCCTCAGAAACCTTATGTTGAGTTTAAGAATCCACTTGCCAAAAAATGCACATTATGATTCCATTCGTATGAAATTCTAGAACAGGCAAAACTAAACTAGCGACAGCAACTAGAACAACTGTTCCTGGCTGTGGGGGGCGCTGCTGGCTAGATACGGACACGGTGAACTTACCAGGGTGAGGAACATGGCCGGTATGTATCTTAATTTGGGTGGTGGAGAAGGGTTTTTTTTTAACATCCATCAATATGAGCTGAACTCGTTTAGCAAATTTGTTCAAAATCATTACATTAAACGTAAATCATTCTTTAAAATGGTAAAATTCATTGGCTGCGCATCATATCCATACAAAAGTTGCATGAAACAGAAATAACATTTAAATAAAAATAAATACCTTTGTCCACCTACAAAGCTTCACCCCGGAGTGGCTCCCAATCAACTGATACCCTAAACAGAAAAACAAAGAACACAACATTGAATTGGTTCAAAGCCTCATATTAAAAGGTGATTAAAAAACTGTAACAAAATCATTTTTCTTTCCTTAAATGACGGCAGGCAACAATCCAGTGGCAAAACACAGGCTTAAAGGTTTACTTCACCAGGATGATCAAATACCTTAAAAGGTATGTGCATCTAATAACACAAACTAGAAATACATAAGGAAACAAGAGGCCAATCCAAAATCACAGAAACTTTTCACACCTTTCAGTATCTAAGAGATCCCACAGACAAAAACTCACTTGAGTTCTAAGACCTAAACAACACAGTAAAGGTGACAAAGAACACAGAGTGCTACACGCGACACCTACAGAATGCACGTGCTTTTGGAGGACTCAGGGAAACTTTCTTAAAAACAAATACAAGGGGCGCCTGGGTGGCTCAGTGGCTTAAGCCTCTGCCTTCGGCTCAGGTCATGATCCCAGGGTCCTAGGATCGAGTCCCACTTCAGGCTCTCGGCTCAGCAGGGAGCCTGCTTCCCTCTCTCCCTCTCCGCCTGCCTCTCTGCCTACTTGTGGTCTCTCTCTGTCAAACAAATAAATAAAATCTTAAAAAAAAAAAAAATACAAAAAACACATGCTGGGCCGTAAAGCAAAAGCAAGAACAACAGACTGGGGAACTTGCAACCGTAATCTTTGAAAAAAGATGAAGAATCAGACAGCCAAAAGAAGACCGAAATAAGGAAACACTGCCCCAAGAAGTGGAAGATAAAATTCCAGGACCCATAACCTAACATGAATGCTCAGCACGACTCCATAACCCGGCATTTAGAATTCGTGAGCCACGGAAGACATAAAAAGCGTGGAAAAGCCATGCCAAAGTGATCACATTTCCTTGTGTAATGGACCAGAAGAGCAAACAAGTAGAACATTCTGATTTCAGGAAGCATTTAATAAAGTTTCTCACAAGGCTTCAAGCAACAAGCCACACTTAGGAGTCTCTTACACAAAAGACTCTTGACTTGCAGACGAATAGGCAAAAGGAGAAATCTAGTCTGGATGGTGGCATAAGTGGCTCCGTGGCTGGTTAAACACCCATGTTCACAGGGTGGTGATTCACGGAACAATGTCAATGTGGATTACAAGTCTCTAGCGGCAATATTACATGGCTTTATCTTTTACCCTCTTCCACCTGCACGTAAACATCCCACACATCAATAAGGCTCTCCATATCTATCTGAAGACAGAACTGAGTCCAACGGAGTGAGTAAGCTCAGACTCAGAACGAGCATTTAAAAGATTCCCGGAGACAATTCTAGTTCTTCTTTTGGATTTCTATATTATATGTTCCTGAGACCATCATCATAAAAATCACGGTCTATTACGTTAGTTCTTCGTATTCTCCTCTTCCAAGATACACAGGGTTTCACAAAATGTTCATTTAGACGGGTATGAAGAAAACCGCAGAGTACAGGACGGACAGACCTGCGGCTGACCACCATGCCAAGATAAGCCAAGGGTCTGCAGCCGCTAAAAATCATGGTGCACAATTCTGTTCTAACCAAGATCAAGTGACAGAGGATTTACTCTCCCACCTGAAATGCCAAAAATGGGACAAAATAATGGAATTCCAAAAATGGAAACCAACAGTTTCCAAGACATGAAACATCAGGCAACAAGGGACAGTAATAGGGAGACGGGAAACACACAAGATGAGCCCTACCGTTCCCAGAGCTTACCGCCTTGCAAGTTTCCAGGTCATGCCACGGGAAGGGGCAATCCGAGAACAGCTCAGTACTCTCTGAGGTGAGGACATGAAAGCCAGAGTCCGGGGAGCCCGCATGGCTAGAGTTTGCAGAATGGAGTACCAGAGAGTCAAGAGCTATGCAGAGATTCAACCCAAGAATCTGCAGAGGATTCCCAGAAATATCTAGCTGAGGACTGCCTAGTGCAATAGTGAGAGAAAAACTCATGGAGAATTGGAAAGAATCACCTGGAAGGCCTAGAGGTACGCCTGGCACTCAGCTGGCTGGGAACTGTCCCTGGTCGTACCAGCCGGAAGCTTAAGATTCACAAGGCACTGACGCCCCGATAATCAGAAGTAATTAGCCATAATAGTGGGTGAGCTGTGGTCTCACGTGACAAGTCATAAAAGCCAGATGAAAAGGTTCAAACTGTTTCCAAGTAACTGCTCTTCATCTTAGAACTAAGCTTGAGAATGTTTATGGGAATACAAAAATATGTAGCACCAATAAGGTAAAATTAGATCTGGGATGCCATCGAAGATTACCAAGCATGCAAATGACCAATGAAGAAACAACCCAGCAACTGGACTGATCCAGAAATGACACAGGGGTTGGAAGTACAACAGTTGTTAATGATAATTTGTAGGCTCAAAAAGTTAAGTAGAGACATGGAAACTATAAAAAGACCCAAACTCAACTTCCACAGATGAAGACTATAAACCCGGAAGCTGAAAAACGCACTAGATAGCATTAATGGAAGAGCAGACATCAGAGAAAAAAGATCACTACATCAGACCCGAAGACACAGCAACAGAAGCTATGCGAAAATGAAAGCTGGAACAGAAAGAAGAATTTTAAATGAAAAGAGTATCAGTGAGCTATAGGTCAGATTCATGAAACTGAAGTCCCCAAGGAAGAGGAGAGGGAGGCAGTGACAGGAAAATATCTGAAGAAATAATGGCCAAAATTTGTCCAAATTTGATTAAAACTATAAAATCCACAGAACCAGGAAGCTCAACAAATCCCAAGTAAAAGCAACATGAAGAAAACTATGTTGAAACACATTGTAACTGAATTGCTCAGAATCAGTAATTAAGAGACGATCTTAAAGGCAGCCCACGGGTGAGAACATCACATCCAAAGGAACAAATGAAAGACGGACACAAGCTTCATCAGAGGCAACGGGCGCAAGTTGACACCTGGAAGGCGCCAAAAGAGAAAAAGGCGTCCAGACAATTCCACACCCATCAAACAACAGCCTTCAAAAATGAAGGCAAAATAAAGCCTCTTTCAGAGACACAAAAGCTGAAATAATCAATCACCAAAAAGCCCACGTGACACAAAATGCCAAGCGAAGCCCGTCAGGCAGGAAGAAAGGGCTGCTGGGCAAACACCGATCTACGCGAGGGAACGAGAAGCACCAAGAGTGGTACCTCCCTGAGTCAGTTATGTAAGATTGCTCCTAATCATTTTAATTAATAAACTTACATAAATATTTATGTGAGATTGTTACTAATTATTTTAATTTCACTGAGTCAATGACTGACTATTCAAACCAAAATAACAACAGTGTAGTGTAGGTTTATAACACACGTAAAAGTAAAATGCGTAGCAATTGCTTAGAGGCTGGCCAAGGGCAAGAGACGTTATTCCTGAAGCCGCTTCTCCCCCAGGAAGCGGTGTATCATCTCAAAGATACACTGGGACAGGATACAGAGACACAGCGTAGAACCGCCAACCACCACCAAACGACAAGACAGTGCTGTAACTAATGAGCCAACAAGGATGTAAAACCAAATCATAAAAAAGTAATGTAAGGAAGGCAGCAAACAGGAAAGAAGGAAATCAAAGAACACATGAAACAAGTAGAAAACAGACAGCTAGAGGAAAGATTTGAACCTATCATAAAATCACTCTGAATAGTAAATAATCTCAACATCCTTATTAAACAGCATACTACACATACCTAATATATATATAAGCACAAACATGATACAAAGATATTTACACATGACCTGAATATTCCTGTCTGTCTCCTCTAATAGGCTGATGGCTCCTTGAAGGGGATACTGTATGTTTGTCTGCATTGCCACAGCTATTACACAAAAGCTTCTCCATAAATACAGAAAGACTCGAGTGAGGGGAGGAAATCAGTCTACTGACTCCCAACTGACCACTCTTTCTTCCTCAGGAAATCAAAACTATTATTTGATCTCAAGCTATAGCCTCCTCAGTAAGTGATGACCACAGAACCCCAGATATTTGCTACAGAAAACACTTCTAATCAATCCAGCCTCATAGCAACACGAGCTTTTTCCTGCATTTAATAACTTCCACTTAATAAACGACGATACATAAGAAGCCCGCGACGGCATCTTCCGTCTGCACACCTGAGCCACACGGACGCTAACAACCCAATAAACCAGGCAGAGGGGAAACGTGCTGGCCCAGCAGGCCACACACCAGTGATCCGTGGGAACAAGAGGGGGGTCCCTCGATAGTTATGCGGTGACACAGCTGCTGGGCTGACCCCAGAAGGACCTCCTAACCCTCTTCCCCCGTGGCAGTCCCAATCTAGGCTTCCTCCTCTAGGTATGAAATCAGAAGGCTGCGAGGGTCGTCCTGGGACCGCACCGCCCGAGGAGCCACACCTTGTTTAGTGAGGGCCTCCCGGAGAGCGGGGGTTATCATAGCTCTTCGTTCGCCGGGGCCGTTCTTCCCCGAGCTCCTGAGCAAACTGCTCTTCTCCTCTTGCTGCTCCTTCTCTCTCTGCATGAAAATTAAAAGAACAAGTCAGCACGGGCAAGGGCACGAGAGTTAACAGCACGGCACCCACGACCACACAGCGGCGAGGACAGGGCCCTTGCAAACCCCGGCCCCCAGACCCGGGCTCCTCCAAAGTGACCGTGTTCCCAGTCAGACGGCGATCGAAGAACTGCCTGCCTCATTTTTCCTTTTTCTTTCCAAAAAAGTCACACACACACCCACCAACTGTAAATCAACAGCCCCTCATCCGGCTGCTAATCATCCTCAGCGATCTGAGGGCAGACGGCTGCTGAGAGTCACCCGGTCATTTCTCCAAATTTCAATTTCCTCACCTGAAAAGGGAGGAAGGTAGCATCTGGGAAGCAGGGATGTGCTAAGATTAAAAGAAAGAAATCACCAGGCACTACGCCTGATGCTAACAGACTTCAGGAAGATGTAAGATGCTGGTTATTATATCTGCAAAGCCCCAAAACAAGTCAAAATAGTGCTCTGAGCCATTTGTCGGAGACCAAATTACTCCTCCACCTGTCGCCCTGATGGCTCCTTCTAGAAGATCCTGCGGGGAAAATGTGTCTTCAGCGAAAAAAAGAAATCTGAAGGATAACCCGAGACTGACTGTGTCTGACTGTGGCCCCCAGAAAGTTCAGCAGCACACTGACGACGCGTAAAGCCTCACATCACGCTTGTCGTGGATTCTCTGTACGTGGCTTCTCAGTACACGATGACCTTCACCCTTTAAACTCGTTTCTTCCTCTTTTTAAATCTTACCATATACACGTAATTTTAAATTCTCTCGATGTCTTTTCGCAAGATGGTGGAATGCCAATCGGTAATTCCGAGCAAACACACAACGTCCGTGTTACCCGTCAGAGGAGACCCTTAGCAGGTCTTACTAGGAGATGCAGAAATTCAACATAATTCACCCTGGCAGCGGCCCCACCACCAAACCCTTTTCCAGTGCCCAGTCCCTAGCAACCAGTAAGCAAATGCAAGAGTAATATCCTTTCTGCCTAAAAGTGGAAGCACCTCAGAGACCACAGGGCGACTGAAATCCACAGCCAACTGAGACAGACAGGAGGATGGTCCGTGTTTGAAGCTGACGGGGGGACTCGCTGTATCATTGTCTACTTCTGCGAACATGCAAAGTTTTCTGTGCAAAAAATGTAAAACGGATTATAAATTTTTTAGAAAGAAACAGAAAGGCTTGTAAGCCAAAGAAATTTGGAGTTGATTTCTCTACCTTCCTTGTTACTTCAAGGACTTGCTCCAAAACTGGAAGTCAGTGAAAAAGTACTTTGGAGACTCAAAGGGATTAAATGAGAAACAATGAACCCAAGTTAGCTCTACCTGTCCTAAAGTCAGCATTCCCGGTTACAAAATATAATCCAAATGAAAAGCTAATGAACAATTTTGCTTCTGTTAATACAGTTCTCAACTACACATTTTCAGATAGAGCTGAAAAAAATTTATAAATAAGCATCAATGATTTTCTCATCCATCATAAAATCCATTTAATGCTGGGTATTTTATTTAAAAAATTTAGAAGTTTCAGTTAGTCTTTTAAAACATTTAAAATCAGGGGCACCTGGGTGGCTCAGTTGGTTCAACACCTGACTCCTGATTTTGGCTCAGGTCACAGTCTCAGGGTTGTGGGATCCAGTCCTGCGCTGGGCTCAGCACTGAGCACGAAGACTGCTTGGGCTTCTGTGTCCCTTTCCCTCTGGCCCTGCGCCCTCTACTCTCATGTTCTTCCTTGCTCTCTCTCTCTCTCAAAAAAATAAAAATAAAAATACAATATTTAAAAATAAAAGAATCCTCTGGCTTTTTTTTTTTTTAAGTCTATTTCCAATCCAAAAGCAAAGATGTGAGCTTAAAAAGGAAGTGTTGGTACAGCAAGATGAGCTGACCTTGACAGCGAGTCAGTGTCTCTGGGTCACTGCATGGCAAGTTACTAGAACTCCCCACTAACCACGCGAGAAGGACCGGGAGGTAGCAGTATCTGCTCTCCAAAACCTCTGTCTCCACAAAACATCACCAGCTTGTCTGCTTACCCCACAGACCACATCAATACAAAGCTGGACTCAGAGCTCCAGAGACACCCACTTGTGGTTAAAAAGACACACTCTGACCCTATGAAATGCAGACTCCTAAAACGGTGATCACGGAGGACGATCCACGTCCCACTACTAGAGAAGTCGTCCAGGAGAAAATATGAGTGTAGCTACTGCATTTCAACCATTTACACACAAAATTTAGATGGGAAAGCAATCAGAGGCCACGATGAAAGGTCTTGAGCATTCAGGACAAACATTCACCCTTCTCTGTCTCTGTGGCAGTTCAGTCCCCTGCCTTCCGTACGCAGCAGTCACACTTTATTTCTGAAAAGAAAGGCCCTGGTTCAGAACAGTCCCCGGGAAGGGCAAAGCACCATTCAAATTCTAATTCTAATCTCCTGGGTGTGGACACTGTTCACTGTTCGCCCAGAATACAATAGTGTAACAAACATACGTGTGTATGTACGGCGGTTACACAGCCTAAGCCAAAGCAGTGAAAATTCCACGGCTGGCCAACCTTGATTCCTCCCTCCCCCAGACGCCCCACTGGACAATGAGTGACCAGTTCTGAAGCTTCACTTCCCAAAGATTGGCTCAGTCCATCCACAAGGCCCTGGTCTCTCCGAAGGACAGGGCAACTGTAAAAGCTAGCCTATCTCCCCGTTTCAACCTGTAATTCCATCCCTTTCCAACCCCCACACCCACCACACCTGCCCTGAAAGAAAATGCACGTCCTCTCCAAGCTGCTGCTTCCCGACAAGCAGAGAAGAAAGCTGCTTATAAGCTAACTTCCTAGGCATTTAGGAAAATGACTATAACTAAGTGAAAAGTCCTTTAAAGACAGACAAGACTATATTATCTTACATAATCTTGGGAGCAAAAGTGTACTAATTCCTTTTTAAAAAAGAAGAGACTAACAATATCAGCTAATTCATTTTCATACTGTCATCCCAGAAACCGCGTACCATCCCAATTATCAACTAGGAAATAAACAAGCCAAAAAAAAAAAAAAAAAAAGTCACCCGTTAAAGATTTGAAGGTAAAATTCCACCTAGCCAGGTGCCAAACAGATGTTTTGCCACAAACAAGATTTTCATTACCAAAGTATACAGACATTTCTTCTGGGAAAAAGAATCTGTTTAAATCTGTTTATTTTACTGATCCTTGCTTTATCATCCAGTGACTCCCTCCCTCAACAAGCCACGCAGGAAGCCGTCACCAGGTCTCCAGAGAGGTCGTTCTCCTATATAGTCAGCGGGCTCAAGCCTGGGGTCTTGCCGGCCCAGGGTGGCTCGCAGCCAATGTCTGGCCGAACAAATGAATGCCTCAAAACTTGAGCACAGCTACTGCTAGCTCGAGAAATGCCCATCTCACTTCTCTCCATAAGGATTCTAGACCTGGCAACTTTCTTTTTTTTTTTTTTTTTTTTTTGACAGAGAGATCACAAGCAGGCAGAGAGGCAGGTAGAGAGAGAGGAGGAAGCAGGCTCCCCTAGAGAGCAGAGAGCCCGATGCGGGGCTCGATCCCAGGACTCTGAGATCATGACCCGAGCCGAAGGCAGCGGCTTAACCCACTGAGCCACCCAGGCGCCCCAACCTGGCAACTTTCGATACTAAAAACTCTCCTTCGGGTACTGAAACTAAAACTCCTCCTGCTGCAATTTAACCCCACTTCTGTGGGGTCCTATTTCTTTAAGAAAGGAACCCCGTGGGGCGCCTGGGTGTGCCAGCCCTTATGCGTCTGTCCTGCTCTGTCCTGGGATGAAGCTTGCGCTGGGCTCCCTGCTCAGCGGGGAGCCTGCTGCTCCCTCTGCCGCTGCTGCTTCCCCTGCTTGTGCTCTCTATTTCTCTCTCTTCCTAACAAATAAATCTTTTATTAAAAAAAAAGAAAGAAAGAAAGAAAGAAAAAGAATTCCAGAACTCACTGTTATAGCGCTCCTGGCTACAAAGGCCATGGTAAGACAGGCTGGTTTAAAGGCGGTGTCTTGGGGTTGAAGGGCTGTGTCACCTGTGTTTCTGGGTGAATTAAATACCCAAATCCTTAAAATTAATAATGAAAGGAGAACAGCTGCATGTAATTCCGCTGCAGTCCTATGCAGCTTTGTAATCAGAACTGGACACACCGAGATACCTCTGCAAATTGAAATGCTTCTCTGGTAAGTAATTACCAAGCATTCACCATTTATTTCCAAAACGAACGATACTGATATCACTGTTTGTCTGCTTAACCGGAACATGCTGTGGGGAGTATTTAACAACATTAATTTACTGCAGAGAAAAAAAGGAACATTCTGCTCTATACTTATAAATCACAACCAAGAGAAAAACAAAAAATAAACAACCTAAGAACTGCCGGGCTCTGGCTAACTCCTCGGGCCCTACCCAAACTCTTCAGATTCTCTTCTAAAAACCACTGTTCCCCTGGAGGATGAAACAGAGAGACAGAGTCTAGCCTTGACCCCACTTTGGACAAACTGCTGTACTTCTCTACACCTGCTTCCTGCCCTGTAAAATGGTAAAACGGAGACGGTAACAGTATGGATATCAGAGTCCATGTGGGGACTGAATGAGACAATCCAATGTGTACTTCGATCTCTCCTAACATCCTGAACGTGTACTGGACCTACCCTCTGTCCCCACAGCCCTAAACTCCCCATCCTATTCAATCGAATCGCACTGCTTCCCAACGCCTGTCGTTTAAAGGTCACAGCCCCACGACAGAGAATGAAAAGGCCTCCCGTGTCTTGCCCCTGCCTCGCCCTCCTTCTCTCTTTCACTCCACACCTGCCCACCCCCCCACTTGAAACTCTAGACACATCACACTGTTTAGGAGTTCCCCAACATGCCGTGCTCCCCGGCACGCCACCCCTCTGCTTCTGCATCTACCTTCCTGACCTTCCAACATTTCACACGTTGGCTCTGGATCGTGGACATCGCTGCGACCCCTCGA